CGTCGTTCCACCACTCCGCCTCCGCCTGCAGCGCGGCAGAGTAGTTGTAGCCGTTTGACGAGTGCCGCGCGAGCAAGTAGAGCACAAGCATCGCACCGCGGAACTCGTTCGCCCGCGTCGCCACATCGGGGAATCGCCAGCACGTCGACCGCTGCAGGTTGCGCCGCCTCCGCCTCGCCTCGATATCCACTGATGGAATGCCAAGAACAATGAGAAACTTCCGCTCCTTCCACGTCTCCACAACACTGCGAGGAACATGTCGCAGCGCCTCGTCATCCGAAGTGCAGGAGACGCCTCCAGACGGTTGGCTAGGGCTGATGTGCGGGGCACCCTTCGAATCCAACCCAGGGCCGATGTCAAGGGGTTGAACTTCAAACAGCGCAAACAGAAGCATGAGGAAGCAGATGCCAACGACTGAGGCAAACCTTTTTTCGAGCCGCGCCATCCTTACTGCGTTCTTGTGGAAAGGAGAAAGCAGAGATGTTTTTTTTGTTGTTGTTGTTTCTGTAAAATCGTTGTTGTGAGTTGCGGTAGGACGAACGGGAGTGGTGGAAATGATGCCAAGTGTTTGTTACAAAATTCAGTCGTCGTTTATCGTGTTTCTCAACAGAGTTTTTCTGTTGGGTTGTCGTACGTGTTGCACGTCGTGGTGCATTGCTCCCTGATAAAGGTGTACCAACGTGTGTCTTTGTGTCCAATAAGTTTCATTGGCTTTTTTTGTTTTTCTCTGCATGGTCACATTCACCTCGTTTGCTTATGTTTTAGAAGATTGCATGTGGTGACGGTGTGTGGTTGGTGTCTGCGGTAGCGTGGTTCCCCCATATGGCCGCACCGCAGCACGGTGTCTTAGCTTCTTCGCTCAGGCGTAGAGACACTTCAAAAGATGGGCAAGGAAGAGCGTCACAGGGTGCGTTGTAAGTGGACGCGGCAAACATTTGCGGCGTCGCTGGGGTAACGTACGGTGGTGGTTGTAATGGCTCACACAAGAAGAGTTTGGCATGAAAATAAAGAGATGGCGAAGCAAAGCGCCAAGCAGGAGGATGGGTGCTTGTGAGGCCACAGCTCCTCCAGGGTCCCCCAGCTTTTAGGTGCCGCAAGTGATTCAGCAGCAGAGGGCAAACGCACAGCGGTGAGGTGCAGGGCGAGGACCAACACGGCGATACAAAATAAAATCGCACCCACAAATGCATGCACCGTTGAAGAAGCTCGCAGACAGTCACACGGGCGGTGACGTCCAGAGTACGTCTCGCATGCCCCGCATGCCAAGTCACTGAGGCCATCCTCCCCGCTCTCCCCCAAAAAAGGTAAAACAAACGCATTTGATGCATAAGCCACACGGCTTCGCGCTCCTGCCAGTGATGCCTGTGTGCGGAGGGTAAAGTGAAATGCGGTCCGGCGGCACAGCTCATGTGGTGCATCAAACACATGAGAACAACCGATGAACGAGATGGCACCCATCACGTAAGAAGATAAACGTAAAATCAAGAAGAAAAACAAAAGCCCACCAAACACATTGCAGGCGTGTGCTCGCATAAACATGTCCCTCGGCAGCATCAGCGTCACCGCGGTAAGTAAATCCGTGCAACGTGGACGCAGACGACACGGCAAAAAACGACGGAAATAATGAGGGTTGAAAATGGCCGTGAGAAACTGGTACGCCTTGACTGAGCAGTGGGTGGCGGCGCACTCACCGCAGCGCAAAGAGCAACAGATAGACGGTGCAAAAAGGTCCCTTATGAAGTCCATTGGGGCAGATACTCATGGGCCCAGCGAGGAAACCACGCATGCACACAGGCATGAAAAGTATGCACTCCCAAAGTAAAGTGAGACGGGGATGAGTTGGTGGTGGTGGTGGTGGTGGGGAGGTGGTGGTGGGGGGAGCATTTTTCGGCGTGGAAACTCTGCAAGGAGTTATGTTCCGCCTGATGACTTAATCAATGAAATAATTCAGAAAGAGGTGGTCATCCACGTCTTTTCTCTTCTCACCCTGCACAGCATCAGACGTCTGAGAAGCGCGTTTGAGCCGCACCAAATGAGCCGTAAACCCAAATTGGCCCTCTCACAGATGCGCTCAATTCCCACTGTTCTCGCAACCTCCACTTCACACCTCACTTCTGCAGTGAAGCTGCACGTGACCAAAGCACACGCACACGCATACACACCGGTGAAAGGTGTACCACGCATCTTTAATACAAATACGCAGCCAGCGTTGAAAGTTACATTACACCTCATGTTTTCTTGAGGCCAACGGGCATATGCAAACCATGTGGGTGACGCCTCTCCTTTGACCTCCATCTCCTATAGCAGACCTATCATGTAGTTTTCTTTTTTTTTCTATTCTTTTGTTGTATCGGGCCCACAAGCCGCCATTTTGGACGGATTGCCCCTCGTCCACGCGTGTGGCACCGCCTAGAGAGTGAGAGCCCGTTTATCCTTATGATTTCTCTTTTGTTTCTCTCCCTCCACGTCCTATACTCCCCGCTTGTGCGAGAAGCGCAGCACATCTAAAAGCGCTGCTGGTGGGTGGAGGTGTGCTACTCCGCTGCGGCCTTCGACACCTCCGGGTAGCTCTTAAAGGTCCCAAACATCCAGTCCCAAAGCATAATGTACTGGCCGTAGTTGTAGTGAAACTGCGAGTGGTGCAGATCGTGGGCGCAGACGTTGAAAACGTACGGAATGCGCACATCAATGCGTGTGTGATTGAGGCCGGCCAGTGTGCCGCCAATAAAGATAAAGGCCACAACTGTCAGGGCGTGCACCTGACCCACAGGTGTGACGCGTGTGAGCAGGTACAGGACGAAGAGGTGCAGATACTCCCCGGTGACATACTCAAAGGGGTGGTCGTTGATGGAGTCGTCAATGCCGCGAAACGGTGTCACTTGGCGGTGGTGGTGCTTATGGATGAGGGGGTAAATCGGCGGCCAGTGCAGCCCCCAGTGAAAGAGGGTGTAGAAGAAGTCGTAGATGACAAAGAGTGTCACAAGGTGCAGCGGCATCCACGCCACCGAGCGAAGAAGCGCGGGCCCATTTAGGAAGTCCACACAGATGCCGCTCACTTCAGTGTTGACGACAAACCGATAGGTGTGGTAGACAAAGACGGCCGTGACAAGTTTGGCAAAGACAATAAAGATTTTGTCCTTCAACGCGAGCGTCCGCAGACACTGCGGCCGGTCCCGCAGGCGGGCCTTCACCACCGCCGCCACCAGCGGATACAAGATACGCTCGTAGAAGGAGAAACCGAGGTAGATAGCTCCCGTGAACGCCAGGTCAAGCGCCAAAGACGACATCGTTCAAAAGATATCTTGCGCCTCCCGCCGTGTCCTTCACTTCCAAATGACTTCCTTGCGGATGGTAGGGAGGCGGAACGATGCCCGGTTCGCCGCGAAAATGAGTGTTACGCAATCGCAAATAATATTCCCTTGCCGTGCGGCAGTGCGGTGGGTGCCAAGCAAAAGCGTGGGAAACCGTCGAAAGAAGAGAAAGCGTGAGGGAGGAGAAGAAGAGGGGGAAAAAGAAACGCCCTGACAGAAGAAGAAGCTCACGCAAAGCAACAGAACAAAACATAAACGGACGCACCGCACCCTCCACCACCAAAAAAAAAAAGGGCGGAAGGAAGCACAGAGACACGTCCATGCGTCGTCGCATGCATAAATTATCCACATATACAAAAATAACAACAAAAGTCAGTTGTACGAACACTCACCGACCAGAAAAAGACGTTTGGGGAGCATACACGTACGTCTTTGGAGCCGCCACCATCAACAGCAGCACACTGCAGGTAGTTGCCACAATAATGCACAAAAACACAGCCTGCCTTATAACTACCCACATGGGCGCCACAACGGTCTGCCAAAAGAGCTTCGCACCTGGAATTTTACTGAGACAAGACGGCGGCGGCGGGCCCACGCCAAATACGTGCCCTAGCTTATCCATGCGACGGGACTGAGTCGATGTTCCATCAATACCGCGCTGCAGCAACTCGGCATTCGCATCGAGTCGCATGCGTTCCTGCTGCATCAGGTCGCTCATGCGAATGGCACCCTCCTTCATGCCCTTAATGGCTTCACGAATGTCTTCCATCACCTGCGCGTGCGCCGCCTCCTCGTCACTTGCGGCCGGCACCGCGTGCGAGCGTTCGCTCACCTCATTAGGCTGCACGCACGGCGACACAGCGTGTGAAATGGGTTCCTCGTCACGGTGATAGACACAGCTGAGGATGCGTGCCGGCTCACACATACAGCACGAGTCCTCTTGCACCAAAAAGGGCGCACTAACGGCAAACGGGGGTCTGGGGGTGTGCTCACGGCACAGCAGCCCAACACACGGCACAGGGACACCGCTCTGGCTTCCATCGAGTGACACCGCGTCCGCTAGAAATGACCTGGCGGCACAAAGAAGGCTGGAGACTGCCTCGTCACGACAGGCGTCCTCCCCCAATGCGCGTAACTGCAGCTGTGCGGAGAAGAGCAGAACCCCCAGGCGGCGAACGCATCTTAGAAACTCAGCGCGGTTCCTTTTGTCCAGACCACGCGCGTCTGCCTCGGGGTCCGTGGCACGCAGCAAACGCTGCGCCTTCGTCAGGGTCCGGCGCAGGCGCAGGATGCAGGGCCGCAACGACGCCTCCATCTACGCGTAGAGCCGTAGCGCAAAGTTCCGCTTCCAGACAACGCCAATAAATACAACTAAAAAAAAACGGGGGAGGTGTCAAAGGAGAAGCAGCCAAAGGGAATTACATTTTTTTTTTAAAGCAAAGAAGCAAGCGGCAACGAAGAAGCGGTTCACAAGAGCAAAGAAAAATAACAACACAAACAGCAAACAGATAGAACACTTCTTTTGGTTTGCGTGTGTTGTTCACCTGCACTTTTTCCTGGTTCAGAGCACATCAGGGGTGTTCTCGTGTGCCGCGGCAACGGTGGCAAACGCCGTGAAGAGATGCTGCGCGTAGTGCCGCAGGGCTCGCACCTCCTCGTGTACGCCCTCCGCGGAGTGCAGGAGCACTGCGGAGATGGTGCATCCCTTCGCGAACAGCGCATAGGCTAGCCGACGGCGATTCATGCACGTAATGAGTGGAATATCGCGCGACACACAGTGTGACCGAATTTCCTCCAGCGTTCCACCTACTCCCATCTCCTGCACCGTCCTTCTCTTCCCGCCAGGCAGCTGATGCGCGGCCGCCCCCGCGCCCCTCACCGCCTCACAAGGTCCGTTCATCTCCAAGGCTGCATTGACCTCAATATCGGAGGCGAGGAACACAACGGGAATGCGCGTGGCAGCAGCCCGTAGCCCCTTCAATGTTTCCCGAAGCCCGATGGTATAGAAGCGCCTCGCCTTAAACTGCAGCGGTTTTTCCTTCTTCATACGTCGCTGCAAATGATACTGCTGCTGCAGAATTGTAAAGACAAGGTCATCCAGAGCATCAGTTATAACGTTCGTACAGTACAGCCCAACAAACTTCACTGTGGGGGGTACGGCTGGCCCCGTCAAGCTGGCCTGTTCCTGCTCATTCTCCGGCCCAGCATCTACAAAGCGGGATAGTTCCTCTTTCGCCACACGCCGCGGGTACCGGTGGCTTCGCCGATCAATCCATGTGGCAAGCGCGTGGCAGCCCACCCCCACCTGCGCCAGTGAAGGGTAAAAGTTCATGTAATTCGGCTCGCCGATCAACTCCGCCGTGCCGTCCGCGTCACCCGCAAGCTGCAAATCGTTGGATGCTGCACAGCATTCCGCAACGCTCTCGGACGACTCCACCTCGTGGCGCGGCGGGCAAATGGTTGAAGCGGCCGTCTCAGCGTCTGGTAACGCCACCACATTCAAACGCCACTTTAGTGCTGCCGTGTTTAGGCGTTTTTTGAGCTGTCGGATGTGGCGCATGTGGCGCCCTGCCTCCGTGTAATTCCTCCCCCGCATGGCCCGATGGAGTTGGCTGTAGATCACCCCCATGTCCGCCACAAGGCCCTGCATTCTCCGCAGCTGCGTCTGCTGCGGACTTGCATGTGCCGGCGTCTCAACAGACGCCTCAGGCACATTTCCGCCACAATCTTCAGGCTCCGTCTTTTTGCTGTTGAGGCTCACCAACGGCTCGAGAGGCTGGGCGCCGTCGCTGCAGGACAGCATGGATTCAAATACCGCCTTCCTCTCTGCATTAATCGCCCGCCTCAACTTCGAAAACTGCGCACGATGATTAAACGGCGTATCAGGGTCACGCCGTTTTCCCTTCCGCCGCAAAGCCCATGCCTGGGACACCTCCATGTGCTTCCTCGGGCGTGCCCCTGACGGAGCCGCCGTCGCCGCACGAGGAAAGAGCAACACTCCGCGCCTCTTCGTTTCCCAATGCGGGTCTTCGGTCCGCCTCGACCCCGCTACATTCAACGCCCTCTCTTCCCTCTTCTGCCCTAGATGCGTGTGTGGCTGCTGCAGCCCCGCCAGTGGCGAGGATTGTGACGGCAAGAAGTCACTCATGTACACGGCCGTTCTCTCCATCATTCCATGCCGGCGTCGGCGGTCCCCTCGCCGAGGTGTCGGCTCAACAGTAGCATGTTCCTGCGCCTCCTTACTGCATGTATTCGGCATGTGTGCCACACAGGAGTCCAGCCTACGGGAAAGAAAGATAGTCACAGTTAAAGGTACGTGTAAGAGTTGGCAATCGACATGCGGCATGGAAAAGAGACAGGCCGCCTTCCCATTCACAGCGCCGCGGCGAAAAAGAAGCAGCGCATAATGGCCATTATGTACGTATACACATGTTTTAATAGGTAGGAGGGAACATGTAAAAGACGTCTGATGGTGACGGCTCACCCCGCTGAGTGAGTGTTATTTCCGCACACCCACACACGCACCACAATCCTTCCTCCGTATTCGCTCTAGCGACACTCCTCACAGGCCGCCAGCCACACACACACACACACACACACTGGACTCGCCACACCGCAGTGCAGCACGACGACAGGCAAAGAACGGGAAAGGGGGAAAAAACAAAAAAAAGGCAGCACGTAAAACATGGCAGACAGTAAAAAAATTAAAAAAAATGCGCCTGGATGATGCAGTATGCCTTCTTCTATCAAGTAAAAAGACACCACAAACGAGGATCACCGTTTGGCTCCGTGTCTCAGACACCCCGCTTCAGGTAAGATCTGAGGAACACACTCGCGCGGCAATAAAGCGATCAGTTATGTCATGCATAATTCTCTGGGAGCCGAGCCCTCGTAGCGAGTTCGTAAAGTGGCAATTCGTTAGAGGCCTGCAAACGGCGGGAACTTCCGACTGGAGGGTAATTTAGTGGCACCGGGGTTAGTGGGTGAGATAACAAGTGGGGAGAAACAAACAACCAAACAAACAGACTACACGCACCTCCATCCACCGCGGCACCACTGAACGACACAAAGTTGCGTAAGCACTAACGCTGCAGCGGAGTCACACACGACACCCCAATTCCCGAGTTACTTAGCCCCATCTCCTCACACACTCCTCCCAGGGGTTCCTCCGGAGAACGAGGAGGAAGTGACGGGAGGAGGTGGGGGATTATTATTTTTTTTGTTTTTACAGGCAAAATCAGCAGGGCATACGAGCGCTACACCGGCAGCGACAGACAACGCCCAGCCACTGAACCCGCATGCGGAGTTCAGCAGGAGCCCTCAGCGTGCAGGCAAGAAATGCAAAACAATAGCCATGAGAATCAGCAAATAAATATATGTATGCACATGCGAGCGCAGAAACAAGACGAAGCTACCACCGGCTCACCCCTCGTTGCCTCCGCCACACACACACACACAAAGAGAAAAAGAGAGAGGGAGTCACACTGCACTTGGAGTTCGTTGCCGTTTTGCCACATCGCTCACTTCTCTCCGGCGACGTGTAGCAGCGGGTTTACCACCGGCTAGCCAGAAGACGAGGGGCATGCACGATCCACAACGGGATTCGGTGGCAGTGGGGCATCCGGCCGTGTCACAGCGCCACCAGATAAACGCACCAAAAAAAAGAAAGAGGGGGCGGGGGGACGGAGCACAGCGCCAGAGACACGTCCACAAAAGGCACCGCGCGGGAAACGATTTGTTGGCGTCGTGTTTTCGTGGGCACGAAAAACAAACAAACAAATAACGATAAAAATAAAATAGTGACCAACGACACAGATAAAGACACGTGAAGACACACTAAAACAGTCCTCGCTCTCCCTGTGGGGGGTATTCATACGATTCCGCCGCCACCGCCGTCCAACGGCAGTGCGACAACCACCCACCCACCCACAAGGAAGAAAACACAACATACAGCACAGTAATGGCACGGAGTCTCAATCGTACACACGCAACACACACGTCTTCTGCATGGCTAACGGTAAGCTCAACCGACAACCCGCACCGTGTGAGGAGTTCAAATCCCTCACGACAAGGAGCTCAAAGTGTCAACGGTGTCACATTCGCTTTCTCCAAGCGAAGTGACGCGGTCCGAGGTTGGGGGCTTCTCACAGGATTCGAAACTAGTCGTGCCCAGAGGCTGCTCTGTTAGATCGATGCAGAGCGCACCTGGAAGCCGTTCACCCATGGATAGAGAAACTGTTTCTGTAGAGAATGAAGTCGTCGACACACCACCCTCAAAAAGAGGTGCAGAAACCACACTAATGGGCTTACAACTCGTGTCGTCTGTTACATTATTGATGGCGGCTGCACCAACCGTCTGCACCGTCAGCGGCCCCACTTCTTTTCCGCTGAGCGCGCCCCGTGCCAAGAGCTGCTTGGGATCCTCAGTGACGGCGTAAACAGCGAGTAGCGCATCGGGTCCTGATAGCTCACGCCCAGCATAGGTTTGATTCTCAGCGTTGCCCACCAAAGCACACCTTCCACTTGGCAAAGGTGTTTTCTCATCCACCGCCGGCAGCGGCCGTTGGCACTCCCCACGCGGCGCATCGGCGCCAAGCGTGTCATGTAGGGTTGTAAAGAAGGTGGGAAAAGTTGGTGCCTCCGACTTACCTTCTTGCCTTCCAACATCAGCGCTCGGTGGCGATGGCGGCGGAATATCATCTAACGGCTTCTGCGAGCTGGGAGTGACAAGGGCAACCGTAGAAGGCGACACTGAAAACAACGTCGATGCATCTAGCATCAATGAAGAATGCCCGTCATTCGCAGCCCCATCAGTTACCGAGGCATGCTGAGGAACACCCCTTAACTCCACCGTGGCGGAGGGCGTCCTGCAACCGACCAGCTCATTTTCGCCCCTTCTGGGCTTCAGGCATGCATGAAAGGCTGCTGCACCGAACACCTGCGCTACGTCATTAGAAGCCACAAAAGCGCACTCCTCGGCGTCAAAAGTCGTCTTGCCCACAGCTTCAAAGGCAGAGGTGTCTCTATGAGCGTCACGATAACTCGTAGAGTCCTCGCGAGACGCACAGAGCAATGCAGGCGGCTTCGCTGTTTCCGACAAAACACGGCTGTGGGGGCTGAAAGTAATAGAGGCGTTGTCTTCCAACAGGCGAGGACATGCGAGAGGCGGACGCCGGTTCCCATCTTCTTCTGCAGGCAGCACCGACACAAATGGGGAAGGCAAACTAAGGTCTGAACCCTCCTTGTCGTGGCATGCGTGCGCAGAAGTGACGTCCGTTTGCTTTTGGCCCGCGGCCACGAAAGGGTTCAATTCCGGTCTGGCGGCGGCCGGCAGAGGCACGGAGGGCGCAGTTGCCAACTCCTCACCGGAGACAACCCTACGTGCCCTTAGACAACGTGGGAAGCAAACCACTATTATTGCTGCTGCTAACAAAATGGCGGCAGCAGCGCCCAAAACGATCAGAGCCGTAGAACCGTGTCGCCCATTGAAGGAACACGCATCGTCCTTCAGCGTGACGCTCACCAGCGTTTGCGTCCAAACGTAGCGGTGACCCCAAAAAGTCACGTTCGCCGCAACGAGGCACAATGTTAAAGCGTTCGGCAACTCAAGACCACTCCTCTTGATGCGTATGAAAGGTGCATTGGGCGTTGCACTCCGTGCACATGCGTATGCTGCGTTCAGCTCCGAACCACACGACGCGGTGCTGGGCAGCAAACACAGATAGTACGGCATACTCCGGACAGCAAGGTCTCCCCCGGTCAGCCCAACTATCAGTGCGTCGCACGACACATTCAAGACTGCAAGTGCAAAGGCGTTCACAAGAGCCGTCACGGGTAACGCTGAGAGCGCCACACCACAGGCAGCAACGTCTGCAGAGGCTGAAGAACAAGACGAGAGTTCAACGCACACAACATATTTCCAATGATGCAGGAAAAGCGGGCGATCTTCTGCGTAATGTATGCGATCCGAGAGGTGAGCCCTTCTACAACTGTCGACGTGCATCACGTTTTCCAAGGAGACTACCTCGCTCTTTTGGCAAGCACCATAGGCGCAGGGTGCCAAAAACACCTGATGCACATGGGACAACGGATTGCCTAACGCCGCATCGTACACTTTGATGGTCACCCGTGTTCCGTTCACGACATACAGCGGGATCGTCACGAGCGACTTCACCTCAAGAAAGGATTGACCCCACGGCAGGTAGTGGCCGCGCCACCCATCAGCGGTCACGCAGAGTGAGTAGTTTCCAGGCAAAGGAAGATGGTGATAATCCGTCACGTTGTAGCATCCAACGTCTGCACCGCAGTTTGTCGCGACACGGTGACACTCCACACCAGCACGCACCAGTAGGGTACCGGCAACAGCACCCTCGCACGGCATGTTCGTCTCCCACGCAAACTGCATCCCATAGTACGGAAAGGGTGCTACGAAGCGTGCGTGGGTGGTTTTACTACTCCAGAAGTATATGGATGCGTTGGTCGTCACAGGCTGGAACTGAGCGTCACCCGCCACGAAGCGCTCGGTGATGACAAGCACCATCATCCCTGACGGGGCAGCAGTATTAGGAACAAACAAAATGAGGTTTGATGACGCCTCCAAAGTGGCCGGCCACCCGCCGCACAGTGTGCCTTCCGGAGTGTAGTACGAGGCGTAGAGGCGCAACCCACTGAGATCCACGGCGTCGCTGACTTCGCAGTAGTACGTTATGTTGGAGGGGCTGAGAACTACGCGGGGAAAGCAGTCCACCAACCGCGTCGGCAGGTTCGCCTCAAGCAAGGGAGAAGACACATACACGCGACCAAAGAGGGTCCCAGCGTACTCCGCGTGACGCAAAGAAAACACATCCGTGCACGATAAGAAACACAACACAACACTACTCAACAACATCCGCAGCAGCCCACAACATATTTTCCTCATCGCGTGCAACAAATGTCGCCCGCTACCTTTCACATCACGAGGGGGAAAAACACACGGGGGAAAAAACCCAAAATATCATCAGCTTCGCCCTCAATGCATACAAATACTAATGACGCACAAGTGCATGCCTATACGGGCAAAGTGCCGTATACACAAACAACATTTTTTAAAAATAACAAACGATGGAACCAACAGGTAAAAAACAAAACACACATTCGCACAGGCCCACCAAGACATGACCACACAAAAAGCGTATGTCTTACAACACCTCCCCCACAAAAAAAAAAAAACAACTCCCCACCGTAGTCCCCAACCACAAGGTCGCCCACACCACATACCGGTGCTGGTTGAGAGGGACGCCATGAGCGCCTTGCGGTCACTCACGCATTTACGGTTACACAGCGCCTGCGCGAGCACCTCGCCGGCAACCCACCCATCAACCATCACAACTCGCCTTCGCTCTCATTCTTGAGAAAATGCTCCGTGTCGTTATAGTCCGTCTGCCCACTGTTCGCCAGGTAGTCCCGCATCACCCCCTGGAAGCGCTGAATGGCACCGTACTGCGTGTCCCTCGCCAGCGGGGTCGTCCCCGTCGAGACCACCTGCCCGCGCACAAACTTCGCACCACCATCAGCCACGACAGCACGCCAAGTCTCCACAACAGCGCTCTGCACCGCCGAGGGAGCCAGCAGGTGCGCACCGGCGGGGCGGCCGTCCATCAGCATCCTCCTGATGAACTTCGAGGTGTCTCGTGTCGGCGAGCCAAACACCATCAC